GGCGGATCATGAAATCAGGAGTTCGAAACCAGCCTGGCCAACATGGTGAAACCCTGTCTCTATTAAAAATACAAACATTAGCCAGGCATGGTGACACACACCTGTAATCCTAGCTGCTTGGGAGGCTGTGGCATGAGAATTGCTTGAACCCAGAAGGCAGAGGTTGCAGTGAGCTGAGATTGTACCACTGCACTCCATCCTGGGTGACACAGTGAGATCCTGTCTCAAAAAAAAATAAAAAGCCACCTCTGGACTGCTGGAGAAGTCAGATCAGGAAAAGGGAGAGTCTTTTTTTTTTTTTTTTGAGACAGAATCTTGCTTTGTCACCAGGCTGGAGTGTAGTGGCATGACCTCAGCCACTGCAACCTCCACATCCCAGTTTCAAGCAATTCTCCTGCCTCAGCCTCCCAAGTAGCTGGGACTACAGGCACGCACCACCACACCCAGCTAACTTTTGTATTTTTAGGAGAAACGAGGTTTCTTCATGTTAGCCAGGTTAGTCTTGATCTCTTGACCTCATGATCCACCCGCCTTGGCCTCCCAAAGTGCTAGGATTACAGGCATGAGCCACCATGCCCGGCTGGGAGAGTCATTTATTTAATGTGATATGGGAGCACATTTCTGCTAGGAAGACCCCTGAAAACATCTAATAACTCCTCTGTGTGGAACGTGGCTTTCAGGTTTTGAAGTACCATGGGAAATGTGCAGAGTGAGCTGCACCCTAAAGCTCGGCTCCATTGTGGTAGCATCGTAAGGATAAAGTCACCTGGAAGGGCGAGATGTACAAGGGGGAAAACTATCATGAACAAGTGACACTGGGGAATTGGGCAAAGACTGCCAGGATATGTCTTCCTGCCACCCTAGACTGTTCCTATCCACACCCTTTCCGTCTTTGTGGCGTCCTCTGAGAACAGCCAATGAAATGATCCTTGAACTCAACGCATGTTAAACAGGAGAGGTCCGAAATAATCACGCCACTCTTCCCAACAGATTTCGTGAAGGTGGGCAGTGTCTGGGGCACCTCATTCTTTAATGATTTTCCCTCTCACTGGCCACATTTCAACTCCCCTTGTTTTTGATATCTTCACTGGGAGATGGGCAAGGTCAGACTTTTCAGGTGAAAAGTCACCACAGTAAAGGTGCCAGTTCTCACTTACCCTGAGAACAACTATAGTGAGAGAGAGCTTGGATCAATCGGGTTAGATGTTTAACGCTGCATTTAGTAGCTTTCCTGTGGATAACAGTTACGTTACAGTTAATGTTCACCAAAGACAGTCTCCTGGAACCGCATAATGGGCTGTGTAAAATAAAATAAAAAGACCTTTCTTTGTTTCCCCCACCTCTACGCAGGTATAGACATTTTCATTTAGCAGATGAATCAAATGGCAAACCGAAAGCTACATTCGCACTTAAAAGTGTTATTTTCTGATGGTTGGTTTTGAGTTGTACATCAGATAAGCCTCTCAGCAGACGTTAAATATTAGCCCGCAGTTGACCATTGGCTGTAACGTAGGTGTAAATGTTTGACAGAAAAGCGTATATACAGCAGTACACTAGCAAGTGCACTCCAAGGCATTCAGGTGGGAATGGAAATGAACACAGTGAGAGTAGAAACCATCTATTGTGGAAACCCTGGACCGTGTTTCCGTGAAGCCATTTGTACACTGTTAAATGATTTACATTCTGATGGGAGCTGCGAATCCCAGAACTGCAGTTCCACACATTCTTCCGCATCCCAGCACTCACAGTCTCTATCAATTCCAGCCGCCAGAATGCTCTTTCAGCTGGTTAAACGTAAGGAATTATTGTCCCCAATTTCTTCCTTAGGCTCTCATGAGTTCTTTTTTTGGGGATGGAGTTTTGCTCTTGTTGCTCAGGCTGGAGTGCAGTGGTGCGATCGTGGCTCACTGCAACCTCCGCCTCCCAGGTTCAAGCAATTCTCCTGCCTCAGCCTCCCAAGTAGCTGAGATTACAGGCATGTGCCACCACACCCAGCTAATTTTGTATTTTTAGTAGAGATGGGGTTTCACCATGTTGGTCAGACTGGTCTGGAACTCCAGGCCTCGGGTGATCCGCCCACCTCACCTCAGGTGACCCACCCACCTTGGCCACCCAAAGTGCTGGGATTACAGGAGTGAGCCACCACGCCTGGCCTCATGAGTTTTTTTAACCCACACTTGTAAGGTGGTTCCAGAGCAAATATTAGTATCCGTCTTTGAAATTCCCAGGCCTGAAGGAGTCTGAATTATATCTCTCTTTCAGAAGATTCAGGTGTGCTTGAATGAATTGTTTTAAATTGCAGGAGCCAGTTCTGGACCTCTCAAAAAATAATTAGAAAATCCATGAATCAGAGTCTGGCTTGTAATGCCAGTGAAAAACTCTTGTTAAGTAAACTCGGATTATAGATATCATTCTAAGAATATGTTGGCTGCAATTGAGTCTCTATTGATTTGGGGGGAAATGTAAGTCTTAGGGGAGGTCACATACTGGACAAGTAGTTGGGGGTTTGTTCCCAATCCCTTAAGTGCCATTAAGGCCCTGTGGTTTTGCAAAGTCCCTTAATGTTTTTGGATTCCATTCTCAGTAAAAGCACAGGGTCAGGCTGGCTGGTCTCTAAATCTCTCTTACCTCTAACTTTCTGTCCTCCAGTCAGCCACTGTGGGATCTAATGATATTAGGGAAAGAAAAATAAAGATGGACATTTCAACTTAAGCTTGACACCAGAAATATATCAATTAAGTTGTTTATTATTCTGTCATGCTGATGAACTCCAGGCTTCTCTTTGTCTTTAACATGTGAACTATGTGTAATGAGAGGGTAATGTGCACTTAGAAGTTTATTAACAAACCCATGTATAGTGGCTTTGTTGGTGGTTTTTTTTGTCCCCCCCCCCCCCCACCTTGAGGCAGGTCTTTCTCTGTCACCAGGCTGGAGTGTAGTGGCATGATTATGGCTCGTCGTAGCCTCAACCTCCCCAGGCTCAGGTGATTCTTCCACCTCAGGGTCCCAAGTAGCTGGGACTACAGGCATCACCACGCCAGGCTGATTTTTGTATTTTTAGTAAAAATGGGGTTTCACCGTGTTGGCCAGGTTGGCCTCAAACTCCTGGGCACAAGTGATCCATCCACCTTGACCTCCCAAAGTGCTGGGATTACAGGCATGAGCCACCACACCCAGTTAAGTGTTTTTACCGTACATACACACACACACATGGAAATCTGTGGATGTGATGGATTTGTTTGCTTATTACCTTGATTCTGATATTGGTATCATGGGCATATGCATCTGTCCAAATGCATCAAACTGTTTGCATTAAACATACGCAGTTTTTGAGGTGTTTCAGAAATACTTCAATAAAGTTGGTTTGGCTGGGCACAGTGGCTCACGCCCATAATCATCCCAGTGCTTTGGGAGGCCAAGGGAGGCAGATTACCTGAGGCCAGGAGTTCCAGACCAGCCTGGCCAACCTGGTGAAACCCTGTCTCTACTAAATACAGAAAAATTAGCCAGATGTCATGGTGTGCACCTGTATTCCCAGCTACTCAGGAGGCTGAGGCAGGAGAATCACTTGAACCTGGAAGGTGGGTTGCAGTAAGCCAAGATCGCACCACTGTACTCCAGCCTAGGCAACACGGTGAGACTCAGTCCCCCGCCCAGAAAAAGAAAAGAAAAGAAAAGAAAAAAGTTGTTTAAAAATATATGAACTATAAATATTCTGAAATACATATTTCAAAAATATAAATATGAAAAGAGAGAAAAAAAAATTTTTTTTCAGAAACCAAGGAGTGGTTTAAGTGCTTTTAAGACCAAGTCTCTAGATCACAATTAAGTATTTGGGGGAAGAACTAATAGGCAGAAACATTTTTTTTTTTTTTTGAGGCTGAGTCTCGTTCTGTTGCCCAGGCTAGAGTATAGTAGCATGATCTCAATTCACTGCAAACTCCGACTCCCTGGTTCAAGTGATTCTCCTGCCTCAACCTCCAAAGTAGCTGGGATTACAGGCATGTGCCACTGTGCCCAGCTGATTTTTGTATTTTTAGTAGAGACGGGATGGTCTTGATCTCTTGACCTTGTGATCTGCCCACCTTGACCTCCCACAGTGCTGGGATTACAGGCCTGCATCACTGCACCCAGACAGCATTTTTAAACTTACACTCTGTAACAGTGCTGACCAATAGAACTTTCTACAATGATAGAAATGTTCTGTACCTGAGCTGACAGTGCGGTAGTCAGTAGCAACACTGAACTACTGAGCACATGAAAGAAATGTGACTAGTACAACTGAGAAAGTATTGTTTTACATTTTATTTAAAGAGTCACAATCCCACTATAACATTTCTTTCAAAAAAAAGCCTTTCAATAAAGTCTTTCTTTCAATAAAGTTCTGAAGTTTAGTTTATAAAATGCATTTGGTTGTCAAGCATTCCTATTACCGTGATTAATAACAAGAACAAACAGGTCTGTAAAATGGTGAAGCCCAGGGCACCTCTTAATTTCTCAGAAGACTTAAAGATGAGGCCTTTGAGATAACCGTGGAGGCCCAGGTCCACTAGTCCATCCCGGCTTAGAGCAATAAAGAGGATGTGGGGAGCGTTTAGGACTGAATAAGGTCTCAGAGACTCAAGACGTTCTATGAGTGAGTATTGGAGATTCTGAGAAATTCCTCAGAAAAGGAGGCTTTTTTTTTTTGAGCCCAGGTCTCGCCCCATTACCCAAGCTGGAGTGCATTGCTGCTATCACAGCTCACTACAACCTCAACCTCTGAGGCTAAGAGATCCTCCTTCCTCAGCCTTCAAAACAGCTGCGTCTGCAGGCGTGCACCACCCTCCCTGGCTCATTTTTCCATTTTCTGTAGAGACGGGATCTCATCATGTTGCCCAGGCTGGTCTCAAACTCCTGGGCTCGAGTTATCCACCCAAAGAAGAACCGTCATTTTAAAAGAAGAAAAAAGTGGTTGTTCAATTCCAAACCTCTCTTCCTTTGTTGCTTGTTCCTTTCAGGAGCTCATTGACGTTGACAGTGAAGTGGTGTTTGAATTAGCCTCCTATATTTTACAGGTAAGTCGTTCTCCTCCTCTTCATGTCCCAGAGCCATACGTAGAAGAAAAGAAATAAGGCTTACAGGGCGTGGCCAGTAGCTGCATCACTCACTACTTGTCATCTTACCTTTTTTTAGCCACAAGCTACAAAGAGCTATAGAGACATGGATGGATACCGTAGCAATAAACAGGGGTTTGTAGGATTTCAAAACATTAAGACAGCAAATCCCTGTAAAGCGAAGTTGTGTGTTTAACCTGAGCCTGGGAGAAACTGAGATCATATACTGACCCCGTTTTCTTTGGTACTGCCACCCTGGAGAAAGCCAAGTGAATAGAGTCAGTTCCCAAAAAATCATATTCTGCCCCCTCGAAAGACAAGGAAAAGCTTTTTAGGTTTTGCAAAAATATATATGTGGCAGAGTATTAGCTTAATAATGACAAGGTCCGTTAAAATGATACCATTTCTTTATTCCTTTAACAAGTATTTATTGAGCAACTGCTATGTTCAAGGCATTGTCCTGGATTTGCTAAAGTTTCCCTGGTCCCTACCTCCAGAGTCTTCAGTATAATTTGGAACTAGCATAAAATACAAACTAAAACAAAAAGCAGCCCTAGAAATGGATAGTTCTATCCAGAGACATGTTCATATTTAGAATGTTTAAACTAGAACATGTCATACCCGGGCTTAGAGGTGGAAATGTGCATTTTGTCATTATGAATCCCTGTCTTTGTATACAACTTTCTAATTTCATGTCTCATATTCAAATGGCAAAGGTATACATTCCATTTTAATTGTATTCCTGCAGCAAATAGGATGATAGCTGCAGGAAGCTGAGCTCACCTCATTCGGTAGAGAAACTGTCACGATGATAGAATGTACTTGAAAGCATCTAACACTGGCTTAGTGTGTTTTGCTGATGTTGAATTTTCTCTTCTACAGGAGGCCAAGGGAGATTTTTCTAGGTGAGTTTACTATTTTTTTCTGGTTTAAAATGTAAGCCCTTGCTTCTCTATTAAAAGAAACTATTCACCATGTCCTTTTTAGGTGGACAGTTTATTAATGTTACACGTTAATAATGAGATCTAACACTCAACTTGCCAATTGAAACAGAACAGGCAGAGAAAACACAGTAATAGCAAGGGAGATATTCTCCACTACATACAAAGCCCAGAGATTGCTGGAAAGCTGACATTCGGGCCCAGTCACATGCCCATTGTCCTGAGGTTGGACAGGCTACTCAAATGTCTCGTGAAGGTTTGAATCACCACTGTGGCATGACTATGGTTGCTGCTAACCCAACAGTTTTAAGAAGTATGTAGATGTCTTTTTTTCTCTCAGTGTAGTCCCTGCCCCTCAAGGGACAAAATGTCTTACAGGGAAATTTCATTCATGAAAGTGTTACAACAACATAAAAGCATCCCACCTCGACTTTCCTTCCGTCTTAGGATATTGTGTTGGAGAAAATATAAGCAGCCAACTACTAGGAATCTGTAAATGGTGTTAATAACCCTGTAAAACTGCAAACTTGTCATTTATTTCATTCTTCACCATGTGTTGATTACTGAAATTGTCCTGAAATCTCTTGTGATCATCACCAGATCCTGCACAGAGCAGAGGGTGTAGCCAGCCACTAGTAAGACTTTCTGCTCAAAGACAGATGTTATTCCTGGGATTCTGTTTGATCAAACTCCTCTGAAAAAAAAAAAATAAAAGAAAAAAAGATTGGGGCAACCCATTCTTGAGAATCAAGGTTTAGAGACAAAAAGAGTGAATTGCATGAACAGGAAAGGAAAGCATCAAGGCATAAGGTTCTGGCCCATCAACAGGAAATTAGCAAATTAGTGGTAAAAGGAAACACAAATCATACCTCTACTCCATCTAAGAACCTGTCTGTTTCCCCATGCTTTGAGGGATTTCATCTGTAAATACAGCAAAAACTGCTTCTGTTTGTGGCCACCTGTACGCGGTTGTCATTGTCACTGGATTTTCAGGTCTCAACCGCTTTCTTCTTGCCTTCCTTGTACATTCTCAGGCTTTCTTTTTATTATTATTGTTTTTTAAATGTTTTCAGAGACAGAGTCTCCTTCTTTTACCCAGGCTGGAGTACAGTGATGCAATTATGACTCACTGTAACCTCCAGCTGCTGGGCTCAAGTGATCCTCCTGCGTCAGCCTCCCAAGTAGGTGGGACTGCAGGCATGGGTCACTGCACCGGGCTAGTTATTTTATTTTTTTGTAGAGATGGGGTTTCACCATGTTGACTGTTCTTAGTCAGACATCTCAGCAGAAGCAAAAATTTATTTTACAGTCTAAAACAAGGATCAGCAAGCTTTTTTTGTTAAGAGCCAGATTGTGAATATGTTGAGTTTTGCATGCAGTACAATCTCTGTTGCAATTACACAACTCTTCCTCAGTGCAAAAGATGCCCCATAGGATGAGTAAATGAATGAGCCTGATGGCATTCAATAAACTTGATTTATGGATACAGAAATTTGAATTTCCTACAAATGTTCATGCATCACCAGATATTGTTCTTTTGATTTCTTTTTCTTTCTTTCTTTCTTTCTTTTTTTTTTTTTTTTTTAGACAGAGTCTTGCTCTGTTGCCAGGCACCAGGCTGGAGTACAGTGGCGTGATCTCGGCTCACTGCAACCTCCACCTCCCAGGTTCAAGCAATTCCTCTGCCTCCCAAGTAGCTGGGACTATAGGCACCTGCCACCATGCCCAGCTAATTTTTGTATTTTAGTAGAGATGGGGTTTCACTATGTTGGCCAGGATGGTCTTGATCTCTTGACTTCATGATCTGCCCGCCTTGGCCTCCCAAAGTGCTGGGATTATAGGTGTGAGCCACCACACCTGGCCTTTGTTTCTTTTTCTAATTGGTTAAAAATGTAAAAGCCATCCTTAGTTCATAGGTAATACATAAACAAGCAGAGGACTGGATTTGTCCAGGGGGTTGTAGTTTGCTGATTCTAATCTCAAATCCCATCTCTTCAAGCTCTGTTCGAATATTTGTATAAAAAGACTTCCAGGCCCCTTTTATTTAAGTTTTCCAAGTTTTTGGTACAAAGCAGTGGCAGTCAAATTTTTAAATAGATAATGACTGTAAGTAGCCTTGGCTGGAGACCTTGAACTTTGTAGGTGGCCAATAACCATTTAGTGCATTTGCTGAACATGTGTTCTCAGGTTATAGAAACGAAATCCTTGTTACAATTTTTCTTTGTTACTTTTTTATGACGTTCATTTGAGGTTTTTCATTTCAAGACCCTGGAATTTGAGGTTTCGATAAGTGCCAGTCTATATCTACTTAAAAGATTTCTGAAGTCCCATGAAAAAAATGATTTAAAAACCACAAATCCGATGGATTCCAGTGTCTAGTCTACTTACTCTGAAGATACGATTTTCCCCCCACATTTTTTTCGCCAGCTCTGAACTCTACCATAAATATTATTTATTTTGAGAGTACCCTGACAGGATGGAATGTCAACTGGGAATAGCATGATCTGGCCCCTGGATCATGGGAAAGTGTGGCCACATGGATTGCCAGGGAGAAGGAAGCGTAGGCCTGGCCTCAGCAGTAATTCATGGCCCCCTATGAGCTTTTGGAATGCCAGCTTGTTGGCTGAGTTCGAAGAAACAAAGGATCTGCGTTGCGCTCTATTTTTCAAAGTGCTACTGCTACCCAGCAATTTGTTTGTAAGGGCAGCTGTCTGGGAAGAGAATTCACTGTGAGGAGAGGGGAGAGGGGAGAGGTCAGACAGTTTATCCAAAAGGTCAGTTTACACCATGGACAGTGCGGGTGATCTGTTACATGGGAGTCCCCGATAAATACCCTTTTTCTGTAGGAGGCCCATGCTAGTAAAGCCATCTTCAGAGGTCCAGAGAAACTAGTACACTTGTGGCCTAAAATTCTGGAGCAAGAGAATTACACGTTTCTTCCCATCTACTTCAGGGAAGATACCCAACACGTTGAAATTGACCACGTTCGCTTCAGTGACTAAGCATTAGGCATTTTAGATGTCTCATTCTCATAACTTATATAATTTATATAAATTAATTTACTTTTTTTATAGAAAGTTGTTTTTGCTATTGACGCAGGATTTTTTGCTCCTTAGTTCAGCTAAAATCCAGGTTCTTATCTCACAATCAGGAAAAATTAGGCACGCAGACGCATTGAAGGTTGAGGAGAGTGGACTATTAGGCAAAAAGGAGGCTCTCAGCAAAGAAACGGGGGGTTCTGCCAACAGGCTCCCACCTCACAGATTGAATACCAGGATCCTCCCCTGCATAAGGCGCAAGTTCCTGGGGGCTCCACCCCCTTCTCCCAGTGTGCATCTGGGCTCCAGTCCCTTGCAGGCACACCTGGGCAAGACCCTGTACAGATTTCCTTGTCTGCATCTGCTTGCCTCCTGCATCTATCACTATGTTATTAAATGCATGACTATACAACCTTAGTTGTATTTAAAAGAATGGCTTTGACTTCCATACTGTAGCCAATATTAATAAAGTATCAGCCTAGAACACACAGAACCCTAGGGAAGGCTTTTCTAGCTATAATACAGGGTCTAGAGTTGAATCTAAGATATTCTAAAATCTAGAGGATCCAATAACCTTTTAAATGAACGGCCACCACAAAAGATAAGGTAACCCTTTCATAGCCTGAGAGGCCTGAATGTATGACTTCCCAAAAGGCTATTTTCTTCAGGATACTATTATACTAGATATTTACATTTCAGGGACTATATCCAAATTACATTTCTGTGGAATAAGTATTAATTCATAAATTATGGGAGCAATTTCCTTGAGGTACAAGAGAAAAGAGGGTTACTTTTACAAAAGAGAAGTCAAGGGCTGGGCACGGTGGCTCAGGCCTGTAATCCTAGTACTTTGGGAGACAAAAATGGTGGATCACCAGAGGTCGGGAGTTTGAGACCACATTGGCCAACATGGTAAAACCCAATCTCTACTAAAAATACAAAAATTAGCTGGGTGTGATGACGGACGCCTGTAATCCCAGCTACTCGGGAGGCTGAGGCAGGACAGTTGCTTGAACCTGGGAGGTGGAGGTTGCAGTGAGCCAAGATTGCACCATTGCACTCAAGCCTGGGCGACAAGAGCAAAACTCTCAAAAAAAAAAAAAAAAAAAAGAAGTCAAAAGTGCTGATACACCTTAACAGACAGAGAGCTATATAAAGTCAACTCTGAACTGTAACCAGTCTTTCTTATGAAACTCACTGGCTCTTCCGTTTCTTCTTTTGGGCTCTTTTTTGCTCAGCAGATGCCTGAAGGCTTATTCTTACATAAGTCTCTTTTCTTTCCCGTTAACAGAATGGCTCACTTCCTTGTCGTAGTGGACGTTACACTGAAATGTCAGGTTTAGCGTGCTGAGTGAGAGAAAATGACTGTAATATAGATAGATAATTAGTATTTTCCGCCATAGGAAGAGATACGGGCCACACATGTTCATGTTCTACCACATGGTGGACAAATTTTTATGATACCTCTAAAGGTTTAGGAAATAGTCTTATCTAAAAATAACATTTTTTCACTTGTATTGTTTTCCTTAGCACAGCATGTAGTAATCTCATTTCATTTCCTGATGTATATACATGTAAAACAAAGAACCTCATGTCTGTCGACAATCAGGAAGTCAGTAGAGTTGGCATTTCTGTTTAAAAACAATTCAGGAGCCTCCAAGCTGTTAACAAAGGCAGCTGTGGACCAAATTTTTGGAAGACAAGAGCTGATGCAGTTTAAAAACAAACCATTCTCTCTCAATAATCGCTGTTGACCATTGGTCAGCTAACAGACATTATCTATGATTCATACATACTTTATTCATCGTAAACACTGAAGGACTTTGAGAATGGAGCACTGGTGTTTTCTATTTCAAAACTTTTTTCAACTCTTGGGTTATGGTAGAAAAACAATTCTCTTCCTTAAAAAGGTCAGTGCAGAGAATA